CTTGTTATTAAGATGTTTTATAGAGTAAATCACTGCTTTATTATTATGAATGCATAAAATTGTCCCAAACAAGAACCGGTTGAACAGGGTGATGCTCCCCGAATAGGTTTTGCACACAGGAAAGTATACCTATTGTAGTGTGAGAATTAAGTTCAGTTTAAGAATGAACAAAGGGCAATAACTCCAAAATTAGGCAAGGCAGAGTTAAGGTTCTTTTCCACTGCACTTCTATTTAACGAGATCAATCTACCTACAAAGTTTCATGTTGATACCTCTAATGGTTTCAGATTTATGTCCCATACAAAGTTCAAAGCTGCAGAAAGTAAAAAAAGGTATTATTCATTGGAAACTAGAACTCCCCAAGTCGGATGTGTCGCCTTGTGAACAATATAGTTTAGGAGAAATGGCCAGGACAAAAATGAAATATGAAAACTAACAAAGGGCAATAACTAAAACAAGAGGGCCATGATGGCAAGAGGGCCATAATGGCCCTGAGGTCTCTCACCTGTATATAGGCCCCCCGGAGCTGCAACAGTTTAAACCCCAGGGCTTTAATTTGAACAAACTTGGAAGACACCCATTAGAAGATGTTTCATGGTGTTAAGTTTTTACTACACATATATAATGAAAAACAATGATCTCCCTCCCCTTGCCCCCCCCCCCCCCCCCGGCAGGGCCAATTTTAACCCAAGGGCTTTTATTTGAACAAACTTGGTAGACACCCATAAGAAGATGTTTCATGCTAAACATCTAAGCTTTAGCTCATTTGGTTTTTTCAAAGAAGATTTTTTAAGTTTTTACTGTACACATATAGTTAAAAACAATGACACCCCTGGGGCGGGGCCAGTTTTGACTCCAGGGCTTTTATTTGAACAAACTTTGTAGACACTTAATAGAAGATGTTTCATGCCTAATATCTAAACTCTAGCTATTTGGGTTTTTTCAAAGAAGATTTTTTAAGTTTTTACTATATGCATATAGGGAAAATCAATGACCCCCTGGGGCGGGGCCAATTTGACCCAAGGGCTTTTATTTGAACAAACTTTGTAGACACTCACTAGATGATGTTTCATGCTTAATATCTAAACTCTAGCTCTTTGGGTTTTTTAAAAGAAGATTTTTTAAGTTTTTGCTACACACATATAAGGAAAATCAATGACCCCTAGGGCGGGGCCAATTTTGACCCCAGGCTTTTATTTTCTATATGCATACTGCATAACTAATCAAGGGCCATAACTCTGAGTTAAAGTGTCTGACTGGAACAAGCCGACGATATGCGCATCTCCTCTTGATATTGATGATTCCCATAATGTTTCGTTGAATTCCAGCCAGTAGTTGCAGAGAACTAGTCCGGAAACGAATATTTTTCTATATGCATACTGCATAACTAATCAAGGGCCATAGCTCTGAGTTAAAGTGTCTGACCGCAACAAGGCAATGATATGCGCATCTTCTCTTGGTATTGAAGGTTCCCATAAAGTTTCATTGAATTCCAGCCAGTAGTTGCAGAGAAGTAGCGCGGTAACGACTTTTGCTCTACATGCATACTGCATAACTAATCAAGGGGCATAACTCTGAGTTAAAGTGTCTGACCACAACAAGCCGACGATATGTGGATCTCCTCTTGGTATTGAAGGTTCCTATAAAGTTTCGTTGAATTCCAGCCAGTAGTTGCAGAGAAGTAGCGCGGTAACGATTTTTGCTCTATATGCATACTGCATAACTAATCAAGGGCCATAACTCTGAGTTAAAGTGTCTGACCGGAACAAGCCGACGATATGTGCATCTCCTCTTGGTATTGAAGGTTCCTATAAAGTTTCGTTGAATTCCAGCCAGTAGTTGCAGAGAAGTTGCGCGGAAACGATTTTTTCTCTATATGCATACTGCATAACTAATCAAGGGCCATAACTCTGAGTTAAAGTGTCTGACCGGAACAAGCAGACGATATGCGCATCTCCTCTTGGTATTGAAGGTTCCCATAAAGTTTCGTTGAATTCCAGCCAGCAGTTGCAGAGAAGTAGTGCGGAAACGATTTTTACTCTATTATGCATACTACATAACTGCAAGGGCCATAACTCTGAGTTAAAGGGTCTGACCGGAACAAGCCGACAATATGCGCATCTCCTCTTGATATTGATGATTCCCATAAAGTTTCGTTGAATTCCAGCCAGTAGTTGCAAAGAACTAGTCCGGAAACGAAATTCGGACGGACGGATAGACGGACGGACAACGCCAAAACTATATCCCCCTCCCGATTCCATCGGCGGGGGATAACAAAAACAATAGTCTTTAAAAGGAGATTAGATACGGGTTTCCTTTTAAAAATTTTTTTTTAAAAATGCACTTACGATTAATAATTTACATGTCAGTTATTGACCCGCTAATTTTCCGATAGAAATATTTTTCAACTTGGGCAATAATTTAACATGTGTTATCTTTTTACTGACAGGTTTTTAAACTTCTGTTATATAAATAAATGAGTGCAAGTCAGTTGAGTTTCGGCACCTTTGATGATTAGGATTAAATAACTGGGACTACATGTGTGTGAACATCAAAGATTTACCGACTCTTTTGAAGGGGCGGCGAGGTCATCTTGTGTGTAGATCAATTTGTGGATGCTATTTTGTTTTCACACATGTATTTATAAGCACTGTGGAATTTAGACAGTCGGTCATTTAATTTCTCTAGTAAGTACTATGTACGCATCACATTTATCAGAATGGGGATGGACTAATCATAAGAGAAGGGATACTTACAAAGTACAGTCAAACTTGCCATAGCGACTCACTGATTTAAACGACTTCCTGTCGTATACGACCTTATTTTAGACCGCCCAACGTAAATCACTATATAAAGTCATTGAATTAAACGACTCCCTGTCTGACGCGACTAACGACCTTAAATTTAGCGTCCCGTTACATTTCTATGACCGAATTAAACGACTTTTTCATTTTCACAAGAATTATGTTTTTCACACTTCTCGCTTTCAATTGACATTTGTCCGTCAAAAATGAGCGCCATAGTCTCGAATGTTTATCACCATTGAAAAAGGTGTTAATTGATAATTACGAAGCTATTAGTCATTATAACTTTCAAAGTTTGAAAATAAATAATCTAATGATTACATCGACATGACCAAGCAGTAAATAACAACCGTCTGATAACGTGCGGATAGAAACTGATAGAAAGTGCGGATAGAAACATGTACAAACATCCGGGCACTTCAGATCATACAAATATGGCTGACAAAGCACGTAAAAAAAGAATTGTCCTGACTCTTGAAAAAGAATTCAGGCAATCAAAAAGCTTGCTGAGGAAATGGGCGTCGGCAAAACCCAGATACAGACGCTCCGGAAGCGAAAAGCCGACATTTTGAGTGACTTTGAAAACAACATGCCCAATTCTTCAAAATGTCGTCGTTATCTCACAGGTATTTTTTTTGGTTATTCGTTCTCATCGTATTTTTTCACTAAATTGATAGGAAAAATAAAGCAAAGATTTACAAGACAACAATGCCTGTTTATACACTACACCCCCCAAACTTAAACTTTAAAATGTCTGAACTTTGCATGTATGAGCAGAAAATTCATTCCTCCTTCTTTTTCCAGGGAATGAAGAAGTCAACGACCTTACATTGGCATGGTGTTGTGATGTAGCGGGAAGAAACATCAACCTTACAGGTCCAATGATACAGACAAAAGCAATTGAATTTGCCCAACAGCTGGAAAAGTTTAAGGCCTCAAATGGTTGGCTTGACTCTTTCAAATTAAGAAACAGTATATCATATGGAACCATGAGTGGCGAAAGAGGAGATGTGAATGTTAAAACTGTAAAAGACTGGAAATCAAAATTAAAAACTCTTCTTTTAAAATTTTATATCTGTAATACATTGTATTTGTATAATCATGCATGTAAACATTTTTATTTTTAAAAACATTTTAACCTAAATAAAGTATTTAAATAAAAATTATCTTATATCTTCAACAAGCCATATTTAAATATTACATAATATGTAACACAAAGAAAACACAATCAAAGAAAAAACAAACAAGTAAAAATAGCATTTTGAAACAACTGATGATTTTTTTGGGAACCTGGATTAAAAGACTCCCTGTCATATGTGACCTTTTTGATATTGTCCCATGGAAAGTCACATATGACAAGTTTTACTAAGTATGTTCTGTTATAATATGAAGTTGATTCCTTTAATAATAGCAAAGTTACAGCCAGTTACAGCCAAAACAATGAAAATTTCAATAATTTGAACTTCAAAGTCAAGGTCATTAATGAGTGAAGGTCAAGGTCTGTCTGATTATTTTTAAGGGTTATCCTTGAAGATTATTATGTTCAAGTTTGAAGACAATCCATTCAAAAATAACAAAGTTACAGCCAATAATAGCCAAAAAAAAGGAAAATTTCAATAATTTGACCTTCAAAGTCAAGGTCATTTATGAGTGAAAGTCAAGGTCTGTCTGGTTATTTTTAAGGGATATCCTTGAAGATTATTATGTTCAAGTTTGAAGACAATCCATTCAAAAATAACAAAGTTACAGCCAATAACAGCATGAACAAGCAAAATTTGGACTTTTAACCTTGAAGGTCAAGGTCATTTATGGATGAAGGTCAAGGTTAGTGTGGTCTACTGAAAGGTCTTGTCCCAAGGGTTGTTGTGGCCAAGTATGAAGACAATACACCAAGAAATAAAAAAGTTATGATCCAGGTACAAGTTTGCGGACAGCAACGGCGCCGCGACCATAGCAATACCTCTACTTTTTTTTTCAAAAAAAAAAAAGTCAAGCTAAAAATGCAAATTTTTACTAAGTCAAGGGCAATAACTCTATAAATACTGAATAAATCTGTAAGCAAAACACCATTATCATAATTATAAAGACACTAAAAGCCTATATCCATGCTCACCAGGCACCAGAGGCAATAAATTCTTATAGTTCAAGTTAGGCAAAAGAATATTATTGAAAATAGAAATTATTATTAACACGTACCATACTGCAGTAGATGTGAGGACACTTCTATGATCCTTGAATGGTGTTATGGCTGGTTCACCCAGTAATATATTGGCTATTATACTTCCTGCGAAACATAGCAACATGCTTGACAACCATGTAGACAGTGGATGTCGCCTATAAAATGGTTGAGTGCCTAAAAGTATAAAACATAACCTAAGTATACAAAGAGAATATCAAAGTTGCCTACATTTTCGCCAAGTGCTTGAAAGTATAAACATTGGCCCAAAAGCCTTCACCTGAGGACAGACTGTTAGGCCAAAATTAAAAATAGCTTTGTTTGCTGTCTCCCGACCGACCCTAAAAAAACACTGCGCTCCGAAAAATTTTATTTGCTCTCGCCGACCATTTTTTTTGTTTTTTTGGTGCCGCATATTTTTACCGATATCCGTTCAATAACGGCGTGTAGTATTCTGGTTCCCGCGTATTATTAGTCACGTGTATAGACTATCAAGTACCGCCGGGTAAAAGTCGAGTGTGTACACTTCCGATACAATTTTGCAAAACGAAAGTTAGAAGATCTTCAAGAAGACGAGTATTTTATCATCTCGTCAACATTTATTATTACGTTTATTCAACTTTGTTGAAAAATAACCTCCACGAGAATGAATTGGTCTGAGCATGGGCCGATTTGTTGAATGACGTCGAGGATTTTTACCCGAAAAAAATCGGACGTTCTTACGGTATGCTTAAATACTGGTTTGGGTTAAAAACTTACTGATTGCTCATGTAATCGACTTAAAATAAAGTTTTTGTAAATAAATAAAGTTTCTTGTATGTATTCATTCATTTATAAGTACCAGTATTTATTTAATAATCATTTTCTTCAACCAGCAAATGCACTTATCTTATTGTTTTCAGTACCACCTGTCTTAGTACTTGAACAGTGTTGAACCATTTCAGCACTCATTTATCACATTTTCTCATTATTGCAGGGCTTTAAGAATAGTCTTCTAGTGGCTCAAAATGCAAGGCACTGAATGCGGATAAACCAAGGTGTATTTACTCCAAGAATAAATTGACAGGGAAACATGATCTCTAAAACACAACCTTGAGAAATTTGATTACAGCTGTGTTTCAGTCATTACAGTTGATGGTTAGTATTGGTATTGCATATTGTTGTGCTTATTTTCTTGAAATAGTGATGTCAAAATGTTTTTACATAATCAACTGAAAGTAGAAACCTGATTTTCTTCTATCTTACATATTTCCCATGGTGTTTGTATAATTAACAAGAGGGCCATGATGGCCCTGAGGTCGCTCACCTGTATATAGCACCCCCCCCCCCCCCCCAATAAGAAGATGTTTCATGCTAAACATCTAAGCTCTACCTCATTGGGCTTTTTAAAAGAAGATTTTTTAAAGTTTTTACTATACACATTAAAGTTAAAAACAATGACACCCCTGGGGCGGGGCCAGTCTTGACCCCAGGGCTTTTATTTGAACAAACTTTGTAGACACTTACTAGAAGATGTTTCATGCTTAAAATCTAAACTCTAGCTATTTGGGTTTTTTCAAAGAAGATTTTAAGTTTTTGCTATACACATATAAGGAAAATCAATGACACCCTGGGCGGGTCCAATTTTGACCCCAGCGCTTTTATTTGAACAAACTTTGTAGACACTCACTAGAAGATGTTTCATGCTTAATATCTAAACTCTAGCTATTTGGGTTTTTTCAAAGAAGATTTTTTAAGTTTTTGCTATACACATATAAGGAAAATGACCCCCGGGGCGGGGCCAATTTTGACCCCAGGGCTTTTATTTGAACAAACTTGGTAGACACCTATTAGAACATGTTTGATGCTAAATATCTTAGCTCTAGCTCTTTGAGTTCTTTAAAAGAAGATTTTTTAAGTTTTTACTATATGCATATAGGGAAAATCAATGACCCCCTGGGGCGGGGCCAATTTTGACCCCAGGGCTTTTATTTGAACAAACTTGGTAGACACTCATTAGAACATGTTTCATGCTATATATCTTAGCTCTAGCTCTTTTGGTTCTTTAAAAGAAGATTTTTTAAGTTTTTACTATATGCATATAGGGAAAATCAATGACCCTCTGGGGCGGGGCCAATTTTGACCCCAGGGCTTTTATTTGAACAAACTTGGTAGACACTCACTAAAAGATGTTTCATGCCAAATATCTTAGGGTTTTTTAAAAGAAGATATTTAAAGTTTTTTCTTTCGGTTGCCATGGCAACCAGAGTTCTGAATTCTTTGAACAATTTTTAAAGGTGACCACCAAAGGAACATTCCTGTGAAGTTTGGATGAAATTGGCCTAGTGGTTTATGAGGAGATGTCATTTAAAGTAAAAGTTTACGGACGACGGACGGACGACGGACGGACGAAAAGCGATCACAAAAGCTCACCCTGTCACTTTGTGACAGGTGAGCTAAAAATGTTAAAATAATTGCATTTTTGGCAAAATCTGTATTGCATAAAGTCTAGCCTTCTGTCTGTTTTCATAGGAGATGCTCTGCAAGGGTGTTTGTATGACTGCAGATGTCATGCCAATCTCACATGGAGTTCCCTTACTGTGCCTCCAACATTGGACGACCAGATATTTGTGCCCATTGTGATGAGCCAGAAGCACAGAGAAATCCAGAACTGTTAACAAAGTTTAGGATTGTACTTCCAGTTTATGAGCAATGCATCAATGTCCACAATAAAGACATTCCCCATAGATGTCCTATAAAAAATGAATACTGTGAACCTAAATTTTGTTGGTATACTGTGGCTTAACTGTTTAATTGTCTGAAGTTGCATAGTGTTTGAAGTTGGTTTTCTGGTTGTGTTACTAACTATTCATTTCAGTGAAAATAAAATGTAAGCAAACTTTAAACTGTTGATGTATAATGATGCCTTTTGTTGTTCAGTAGTTATTTTGCATAATATATTTGAGTATATTTGTGTGTTTTAGTCATCCTCTCACATGTTGGGTAAATGTTCGAAATTTTGCTTTTGTTACATGTATTTTTATTAAAAAGAACTATACTTCTTGTATTGACTAATTGAAAGATATACAAACTGAAATAAAAAGTAAGATATATCTAATTTTAAAAATTTTTATTCACATTTTATTAAACCGTTTTTTCCAACAAACAGAATCAAACCAAAAACATTTATGTATTTCCAAAAAAAAACAAACAAGCAAATTCTTTGAATTTATATCCCCCGCCGAGTACTGGTTATTATTAACACAACAACTGAAGACATAAGGCTTTATTTATATATTAATCATGACATAAACTGTAATATTCTTTGAACTTGAAGCCTTGTACCTTCAAACAAGAAGAATTTTTAAGTTTTCACTATATACATATAAGGAAAATCTATGACCTCCTGGAGTGGGGCCAATTTTGACCCCAGGGCTAAAATTTGAACAATTTTGGTAGAGGACCTATAGGTTATATCATATACCAAATATCAAAGCTCTAGGCCTTGTACTTTCAGACAAGATTTTTTAATTTTGCATTTTTGAAACTCCTTTTCTGGCCCTGTGACCTACTTATGCAACAGACCGGAACCATTTGATCAACTTTGGCAGGGGACCACCCTAGGATCATTCCTGTAAAGTTTGGTTGCTGTGCAGTCATTTGTTTCTGAGGAGATGTTGTTTAAAGAAATTGCTGACGACGCACGACGACGGACGGTAGGGGATCACAATAGCTCACCTAGATGTAAAAACATCTTAATCTCAAGACTTCATTGCCATTTTCAAGGCATCAAGAAGGGATCTCACAATTTTCAAATATTTTTAAATGTTATTGTAACAAATCATTTTAATTCTTCTTTAATAAAAACTAGAAATGTGTCCATAGGACACGGGTGCCACCACCGCGCCACTGTTCTGTCAATCTTATGACTCTAGGCCAAATATTTTTTGAAAACTAAAAATCTTTTTACTAAGTAAAGGGCAAGAACTTTACAAATACTGAATAAATCCCCAAGCAAACCCCAAGTTGAAAATTGCAAATTTATACTACTGTAATTCAAGGGCAATAACTCTAACAAAACTGAAAAAAATCCACATGCAAAGTCCCAGGTTCATAGCTTCACAGTGAGGTGAATCATTATTCCTGTAATTTAGTGATGTTGATCATTATTCCTGTTAAGTTGGTCGATTCTAACTCAAGCACTCAAGGATCAAATAACAACATAATGAAACAGTTTTTACTAAGTCAAGGGAAATAACTCTTCAATACTGGATAAATCCACAAGCGAAACCCAAGGAACAAACTAAATATGCTGAGCAACTTTCCAATAAGGTTTAATGACTCTATGTCAAATCCTTTTTGAGTTACATGTGTGATGTGACACATGTTGAAAATTGCAAACATTTTCTAAGTCAAGGGCAATAACTCTAAAAATACTAAAAATATCCAGACGAAAATACCCAGGTGCACAACTACACATACTGATCAACATTCCTGTAAAGTTTCATAACTCTAGGTCAAATACTTTTTGAGTTACATGCGACACAAGTTGAAAATGACAAAATTTTACTAAGTCAAGGGCAATAACTCTAAAAATACTAAAAATATCCAGACGAAAATACCCAAGTGCACAACTACACATACTGATCAACATTCCTGTAAAGTTTCATGACTCTAGGTCAAATACTTTTTGAGTTACATGCGACAAGTTGAAAATTACAAAATTTTACTAAGTCAAGGGCAATAACTCTAAAAAAACTAAAAATATCCAGACGAAAATACCCAGGTGCACAACTTCACATGCTGATCAACATTCCCATAAAGTTTCGTTGAATTCTAGCCATTAGTTGCAGAGAACTACTCCGGAAACGAAATTCTAAGTCAAGGGCAATAACTCTAAAAATACTAAAAATATCCAGACGAAAATACCCAGGTGCACAACTTCACATGCTGATCAACATTCCCATAAAGTTTCATTGAATTCCAGCCATTAGTTGCAGAGAACTACTCCGGAAACGAAATTCGGACGGACGGATGGACGGACATACTTAGCAGACGTGTTTGTGGGGTTATTCCTTTGATCTCTTAACCCCACAAGAGCAAATTTTTTTAACCCCATAAGAGCATTTTTAACCACATAATACATGTCTCTACGGAATGAACCCCATACAGAGTGCCTGTACATAAACCTAAACCTCATAATGTAGCTCTCGTCTGCTCAGACGGACAACGCCAAAACTATATCCCCCTCCCGATTCCATCGGCGGGGGATAAAAAAATCCCTACCTACCTACCCAACTCTAAAAAGTAGGGTCGGGAGACAGCAAACAAAGACTTTTTTAAATGTGGCCTTATTTGTGTAAAAGCAGTGAAAGCTACAAGAATTTAAACAAGAGCACCGCTAGGCGGCGCATTATTGCCCGAAAAGTGTTTTTTTTTAGTAAGGATGAAGCATTTGTAAGGCGTGGGAATATTTCATATGAATATCATATTATGAATAATTGTGGAAAACGAAGTAGAGATAAAAGATACCATTCAGAATGCTCCTTCAAAAAGCATTCCTCCTTTATAGCTGAAGAACCTTCATATATATTATGATTAATATGAATAATTGTGGAAAACTAAGTAGAGATCAAAGATACCATTCAGAATGCTCCATCAAAAAGCAATCCTCCTTTATAGCTGAAGAACCTTCATATATATATATGAGCACCGTCATGCAATTTGGGGTCTTAATGACATAATGCGCAAACGTCATAAATGACGTCAAAAGTCATACCAGAAGATCATTGCGAAACTACACATGTTAATCTAGAAGTTTTGTTTACGATTATTATCGACAGGTTACACGTATTTTCTTTGCGTAAAATGGCCGAAGAGCTAGAGGTAAGTTTCTTTATTCGTGTTTTTTAACAATCTACTGTATGTTTATGTTTTAAATCTGATTTTATTTGAATCAATAATGTTTTGAAGGTTAGTCGGTATTTGAAAACGAAAGTAGAATACATTCGTGAATCTCTTTTCACACCAGGTGCCTATTTAAACGCTCGAAAAAAGTTTATCATGGTTTACAGACTAGCATGAATGTTTCGACATTTATCTTTTTCTCTAGAGCTATTTTTATTTTCATCTAGAACTAGAATCTAATAAATAAAAAGAAAAATATTTGCCGCTTTGCGAGACTAATCCTAGATGTAGTCTACATGAATATAGATTCTATTTACACATGAATATATTTACACATAACGAATAAACACTTTAAACTTTGGTATATGGATCGTACATGTACATGATCTTACAACTAATTTGTTAAATAGCTGGAATTAGTGTGTAACTGTCGTCTGGAACCGCGCTGTTTCAGTTTAAACACCGCCATTGTATAAATAAAATATTTCTTTGCTGATAAATGTAAATGCCTCTGTAGCTAAACGGGTACGCCGTTCGCTTTTCGTGCGGGCGGTTGAGGTTCAAAACCTGCCTCTCTCTTATTTTTTTAGGCATTTTTTTAATCACATGCTGATTAAACAAATAGCAAAGAGTTAAACAGTAAAATGTTATATTTTTAGATTTTGCATTTAATTTTTCTATTTATTAGTCATTTATGTTTGATTTTAGATTTTGCATAAAGAGGTATGATTAATATATTATTTGTATTTTATTTTCAGGAACTAGAGAGCCTTTTATCGGAGCATTTTGGCAGAACACCGTTGACTACACCCTGTAATACCCAGGAAGATGTTAGTAGCGACAGCGGTTCTGACCAAGACATCAGGGAAAATAGTATAGTGGAGAGCCGTGTGCGAGACTTCCTTTACCAGGATAGAGGTGCAAGATTATGTTGAACCAGATTCTGACCGCAAGCAGGTTGAACTTTATAAATCTAGTAAATGTTGTAGGTTAGCATGTAGCGGAAAATTCACTAAAGATCAAATATATCAGTACCTACTTAATATGAAAGAAATGGAAAAAGAAACAAAGGAAAAATAACATTATGGGTCTGATAAATGATGAAAGATCTACAGAAAAAACACAACGTGGTAAAAAACGTCAAAGAATGAGAAGAAAGTATACGTTACATGGTACTGAAGTATGTAAAAAGACATTTCTACTTTGTCATGGCATAGGGAAGAAAACACTAAGTAGCTTAAGTAAGCAAGTTTTTCAGGAAGGTATTGCTCCACGTATACATGGAAATACTGGCAGAAAACCACATAATGCTATTACCTTTGACGACGTTACAAGAGTAATACATTTTATAAGTAACTTTGCTGATGAAAGAGGAATACACCAGCCTGCCGCACCTAGGGGACGAGATGATATTCCACCAATTTATTTACCGTCCGAAACAACAAAGGTCCAGATGCACAAGGATTACTGTATTTCTTGTACATAAGCCGTTCCACAAATCAAGCACGTCTCGCTTTCTATGTTTAAAACTCTCTGGTCTACGTGTATGCCTCACATCAGAATAGCAACATCAAGAGATGACGTCTGCGCTACGTGTGAGCGAATGAGAAAGATGATATCAGACGCAGTGTCAGAGGAAGACAAGCTGGAGGCCTTAGCTAACATGCGACAACACATTCTTTTAGCTCAAAGGGTATGTACTAGTTTACTATACATTAAGAAATATTTATAATTAAACATGTGAATGAGTCAAAATTTATATACAAGATTAATAATTTAATGTTTATCTCCTTTTTCTTGATTTTTAGTTATGTTTATGAAATATAACGTTTAAAATCTATGGAATTTGATACTATTCCAGTTTACAGGAAAGTTTGATAAACCTTTAGTTGTGAAATTGCTAACTTTTTACATTTAAGGAGAGGGACACGTACAACACATGTTTAAGAAGAAGTGCTGATGAAGATGAATACTTTCATTTTACCTTTGATTTTTGTCAAAACGTGAGTTTGCCACATCACGCAAGACAAATGGGACCGTTGTATTTTCTTACATTGCGAAAAGTACAGATTTTTGGTTTCCGTATAGACGGTATCCCTAAGCAACTGAATTTTTTTATTGATGAAAACGAGACAGTAGGAGAGGATGGATCCAAAACACATGGCCCTGATGCAGTTATTTCCATGGTTGATTGGGCACTACAGGAACATTGTGTTAGAGCAAGAAAGTTTTCAATCCATGCTGATAATTGTCCAGGTAAATTATACACATTTCATTTTGTTTAAAGGCACATTTATACATCGGAAATCAATATTTTATTTTAATTCTTTAGAAAAATATAAAACGTATTTAATAATTCTAATTTATATATTTAGAGCATGTGGAATGTTGAACAACTGAAAAAAATAGTGCAAAGTGTACAGTACGTACGTAATGTGTTGTAAAAGTAAAACAAGAGGGCCATGATGGCCCTATATCGCTCACCTTAGGAATAGATCTTATAAAGTATTTTTCTTTTTAAAAAAAAAAACAACAGGTTTATAAAATTCTTTAATGTCATTTAAAGGTTAGTGTCAAATGTAATGTATTTTTGGCCGACATTAACAGGAATGCAAACATTAAGTGTATAGAAATACCTCTTTTTTCTTTTCTTTAATGTACAGGTTGCTAAAAAATACACTCCCTGTGGCGTGTTTACATGTTGAAAATTTTAACAATGACATCATCATAAACAAGACGAAGTACAAATTTGGATCATACTTCAATAAAAATGGGTCAAAGACAAAAATGGCCGGGTTGCATTTGTATACCAAATAACATGACTCCTGAGGCTGTGATGTTACAAAAATTTCCTACCATTGACCATTCATATCGAACATTTAACTAAGTCGGTAAACAGGAAGAAGATAAGCGATTATAAGACCTGAACTTTGCAGTCACAATACCAAATTTCAAGAGGCTGTGATATGTAGTTGCTAAGAAAACTGTTACGGAAATTTTCTTTCATTTACAATTAATGCTGAAAATTTCACTAGGTCAGAAAAACTGAAAGTGGATGAGCCACATACCTGAAATCATATCAATGTTGTATACCAAACATCAAGAGGCTGTAATAAGTAGTTGCTGAGAAAATTGTTACAAAAAATTCATACCATTGACCATTATTATGAATTAAACTAATGAGAAAATTGTTACGAAATATTCATACCATTGACCATTATTATGAATTTAACTAAGTCAGTAAACATGAAGTGGATGAACGACAGACCTTAAATCGAATCTCATGGTATTGGACAATGTGTTAATGCTGCAAACTAAATATCATGAGGCCCTGATCAGTAGTTGCTGAGAAAACTGTTACGAAAAATAGCCCAACCAATTCGCCTGCCTGCCCGGAATCAAGTCTCAATACAGGATGGTAAACAGTATTTTTTTTTTCATATATGATTTTTTTTTCGAGATATCCCATTAGTGTTTAAATATCAAAATATTTTTTGATAGTGTTTACTCAGGGGTATCATGTTGGCCCAAGCATCTGTGGTTTATCGTAATTTAGAACACCCTTTCTAAAAAAAAGAACAACAACAACAAACAGCAGGGATCTCAGGAAGGTAAGAATTTCAATTGGCAGACTGTTTGACCAGAATTTTCATGAGTCAATTCAGTTTTTTCTTCTCTTATTTCTCTACATGAACCATTTTCATGTTTCAAAAATGAATTCAAAAATTACTGTTTGGAAAGTCATTTTGAGAAGATTTTCAAGTATAAATTGATAATATTGTGAGGTTAAGTTATTTTAAAATTACGTATTTTTCTTGCTTAGTTAACCCTTTACCACATATATACGCGAAACAACGCACTTTCGACCCCCCCCCCCTTTTTGGGCCTCAAATAGTGAAAAAATGTCCTATTTGGGCCCCAAACATAAGTTTTCGTTTGAGAAATGTTGCTAAAAAAATTGAGCACTTTTTCGGCGCCGCCCCCCATCCAAAAGATACATCAGGGGGTTGCCAGAAGGGGGATGTGCCCCCTTCTGTTAGGGGGGTTTGAAGGGGGGCGGAGTCCCCCTCATCGCCAAGAAAATTTTGGACTTGTGAGAGGCTAAAAATGACCCCAGGTCGATCATAATGTAACGTTTAACCAACGCTGAAAAGCCTTTGACTCTATCTCAATCCCTTGAGAAGTTGCAGCCCTTTGAAATAAATTTTGATGGAAAAAATCGAGGCAAAATAGTGATTTTTGGCAATTTTGAGATGTCCCCTCGTTGCCATGGTAACAGGAAATTTGAGACTGAGCATGTCGTTACAAAGGCAATGGTCCAGTCAACATTTGTGCCAAGTTTGATTAGTATTGAAGCATTTTTCATAGTTTCATAGCAGTTTGAACTTGTAACAGGAGGCTTTTCAGTGAAAACGGCCATTTTTCACAATATGCTCATGGGGGAAAGGGTTAACTAAAAAAAATATAAATGTTACAAAACAACAATTTTTCACCAAAATTAGGTGAAAGACCACATGTTAACATGGAAAAACTAGTTTTTAGGTGATTCCAAAGTTTTTCATCATTTTTTGTTAACCCTTTACCACATATATACGCGAAACAACGCACTTTCGACCCCCCCCCCTTTTTTGGGCCTCAAATAGGAAAAAAATGTCCTATTTGGGCCCCAAACATAAGTTTTCGTTTGAGAAATGTTGCTAAAAAAATTGAGCACTTTTTCGGCGCCGCCCCCCATCCAAAAGATACATCAGGGGGTTGCCAGAAGGGGGATGTGCCCCCTTCTGTTAGGGGTGTTTGAAGGGGGGCGGAGTCCCCCTCATCGCCAAGAAAATTTTGGACTTGTGAGAGGCTAAAAATGACCCCAGGTCGATCATAATGTAACGTGTAACCAACGCTGAAAAGCCTTTGACTCTATCTCAATCCCTTGAGAAGTTGCAGCACTTTGAAATAAATTTTGATGGAAAAAATCGAGGCAAAATAGTGATTTTTGGCAATTTTGAGATGTCCCCTCGTTGCCATGGTAACAGGAAATTTGAGACTGAGCATGTCGTTACAAAGGCAATGGTCCAGTCAACATTTGTGCCAAGTTTGATTAGTATTGAAGCATTTTTCATAGTTTCATAGCAGTTTGAACTTGTAACAGGAGGCTTTTCAGTGAAAACGGCCATTTTTCACAATATGCTCATGGGGGAAACAAAATAAATAAATACTACTTAGAAATACTTACAAAAAAATCTTATTGATAACATTTGGCCTTATTAACAGCCAAATTAACAAAACACTTACTTAGTGGTAAATGTTATCTAAATGAATCTCAATTTTTACTATTTTTCACTCGTTACCATGGAAACAAGAAATTTCATAAAATATCTAAAGTTCACCAAAGTTCATATTTTAACAATAATATAATTTGAAAGAGTCTAATAACATTTTAACATTGATTCTCACTAAAATAGTTAAGTTAATATCCATATGTAATAATAGGAAGCAGACGGCGGCCATTTTGGACGCCATCTTGGATAAAAATGTTGTGACACCGGTTAGCACAGTGCAACATGCAGTTTCATAAACTACATTTCCTAACGTTTAATTTGATATATAGAAACCCTTGTTTACTAACGTAGACCGGTTAGGTGCACAAAGCCAGGTCAAGTTTGCAGCATTAAAAGGGTTAACAAAATGATAAAGATAATTAAGTATTACTAGCACCATGGATAATTACCATAATTATTTGTCCATTTTCACTAACATTTATTGAGGTCAATAGCACATGTGTACATGACTGTATAATTTTATAAATCATAACACGGGACGTCGGGAGGTGATATTTACATAAATACAGAATGTCATGCCTTAATACTTAACAAATAGTTAACAAAATACCTGTTTCAACGAAGCACACATATAATTGTATTCATCTTCACTTCTTTGTTGTGAAATACGAGTTTATGTTACAAAATTTCTCAATTTTCTTGATCGGCGGACGTTTCGTCATGTACTTCCGGTTTAGTATAATTTATAATCTCAACTCGAGGTCAGATTGATACAGATGTTTTCGGAGGCAAAATTGTTGGTTTGATTTGATTTGATATGCATTATTTGATGATTCGAATTGTATGTTTGTTCTCAGAATGAAATATTATGACATAATTCGTTCATCAGTAGGTGCGGTGTAGCTAGCTGCTATATGATTTTTCCCGCAAACCGGAAGGATATAAAATGTAATATCCGTACTGTAAATTAAACTTTTATCTTAATCAACTAATTTTTGTGGAAAAAAACAACATTTTTTGTTCACTTTCGTTTCTTTGTGCAATTTCATACACAATAAAATGTGCAAGTCATTGTCAAGAACCGAAATATTTTACAATTGTATTTCGAAAATGACACAGTCTTCCTTTCTGATGATATTACGAAATTAATATTGAATGGGGAAATCAACTTCACTGTAGCTCTCAAATTTGTGCTATTCTGATTGACTCTGTTTTGAATTAACATTCACATTCAACAAACTTTTCATCCTTCTTATGCTTTAAAAGAAAAATCTTCATAACAATGTCTGTTGAGACAAAAAATACAAGATACACTGTCTCAATTTATCCCTACAAAGAAAGTCTATATAACTTTGCAATAAAAAAAACCTTTAACTCCCAAAATAGAGACCAATTTTCAGCTTTAGACCATAATTTGAATATACTTTGTAGGAACTTACAAGCTAATGCCTTGTGAGAAATATCTAAGCTCTAGCCCTTTCCATTTTGAAGTATAAGAACTTTTAAGTTTTTTCTTTTAGTTGCCATAGCAACCAGAGTTTAGCATGTAATGGCATTCTTGGAACAATCTTGATAGAGCTTCATACAATGAGTATTCCTGCCAAGTTTCATTAATATTGGCCAAGTGGTATTATAGAAGATGTCGTCTGAATAAAATATGGACGGACACCGGACGACGGACGCCATTTGGTTGGCCATCCTAAAAGCTCACCTGCACTTTGTGCAAGGTGAGCTAAAAATGTTAAAGTGTAGTATTTTGACTTCCATGCAAATACTAATTCTAATAGAGCAAAATAAGTTAAAGAAAGTTAACCTTTATAGCAAATGAGTTTTTTGTAGAAAATGGAACTTGATGCCGACAAAATGTTTTTTGAGAAATAAAATAGATAGCATATATGAGGCATAATATGGGCCTTTAAGAATGTAACAGTACTGAAATAACTAACTTCTCTTAGTATCATTACAACTTTATAATGGATATTTTTGGTTTATAAAGATCTTATTTTATATACAAGCGTTAGTTTGCATTTGATTAAAACTACATAAAAATATAGTTAATTAATCTGCGGGATGATAAATTTGTTTTATTGTTATAAATGAAAAATACCCCGATAATACTGTTATATTCATTCTCGCTTTTCAGGGCAGAACAAAAATAAGTATGTGCTTGCTTATTTTATGTGGAGAGTAAAATATTCTTTACACGCTAGTGATTCTACGTGCACCGTTTTTAAAAAGAATAAAAAAAAACTATCATTTAATTTTGATTTACTCAATAAAAAGAAAATAGGAACAGATTACGATACATTATCAGGCTGAAAATCGCTTTTACGTACGCAGTTATTAAATTGCAATCCATGATGACACATGATAGCCTGCGGAAAGCGGTTTTTATAAATAAAGACACGTGCTATGTTCTCTTGATCGAGACATCACGATAATACCGCTAATAAATAAAAACAAGATTGCATTTGAGAAAAATGCTATGCCACCGTAATAATACAACACTAAATAGTAGTGTAGGAACAGATTTTTTTGTTTCTATACAATTGAAGATTGTCATAATGCATATCTAATTCTTATTATCAGATTAGTGGTTAAATCTATTGTTAACTCAATAAAAGATCAGAGTAGGAATATATCAATGCACTTGAGTCTAGTGAATTTGGTGGTGAAGGTCATATTTCACACAGCCTAAAATTTCATGACTGCATCAAAGGACAACATGTAATACACTTTGTCAAAATCTAGGTCAGCTGATATCAAAGTTCACTTTTAATTTTGACACTAGAGGCAAAATTTGAACAACTTTGGTAGAGTACCTATAGATGATATCATTTAACAAATATTAAAGCTCTAAGCCTTGTACCTTCAGACAATAAGATTTTTTAAATTTTTTACTATATGTATATATTGAAAATCAATGACTCCGGGGCGGGGGCAATTTTGACCCCAGGGCTATTATTTGAACATTCTTGCTAGAGGTTCACTTCACAATGTTTCATGCAAAGTATCTAACCTCTAGCATTTGTCAATTGCTAGAAGAATTTTTTTTTAAAGTTTTTACTATAAGTTTTTACTATGTAAATATGAGGAAAATCAATGACCCCCGGGGCCGGGCCAATTTTGACCCCAGGGCTATAATTTGAACAATCTGGGTAGAGGTCTATCAGACAATGCCTTATGCAAAATATCTAAGCTCTAGGCCTTTTGGGTCTTTACAAGAAGGTATTTTAAATTTTTACTATATGTACATATAGTGAAAATCCATGACCCCCGGGGCAGGGCTGATTTTGACCCCAGGGCTATAATTTGAACAATATTGGTAGAGGTCTACCAGACAATGCCTTATGCAAAATATCTAAGCTCTAGGCCTATGGGTCATTACAAAAAGGTATTTTAAGTTTTTACTATATGTACATATAGTGAAAATCAATGACCCCCGGGGCGGGGCCGATTTTGACCCCAGGGCTATAATTTGAACAATCTTGGTAGAGGTCTACCAGACAATGCCTTATGCAAAATATCTAAGCTCTAGGCCTATGGGTCTTTACAAAAAGGTATTTTAAGTTTTTACTATATGTACATATAGTGAAAATCAATTCCTTTTGGTTGCCATGGCAACCAGATTTCTGCATGGAATTAAATTCTTTGAACAACTTTGGAAGCCCTTCACCCAAGGATCAATCCTGCCAAGTTTGGTTGAAATTGGACTAGTGGTTTTTCACAAGAAGATTTTTTAAGTTCACTATATAATCTATATAACACACACACACACAAACAAACAAACAAACGCACACACACACACACACACACACAGGTGAATCGCTATATGCCACCGCATCGCAGATGCTGCGGTGGCATAAAAACAGACATTCTGCTTGATATGTTTATGTATTTCGGAATGTTAAAACATTCATTGTTAGTTTTACTCAAAATGCTTTGTGTCTAAATGACATGCAAGAAATTGTTGTTTCTTCCTGGCATAGATTTTTTAGTATGGAAATAATGTGCAGCAATTTACAACTTTACATTAGCATGCTAAAATTTTCAGCCTTGTTATATTGAAACAGGACACGCCCGGTGTTTAGTAGATTCCGGCTTCGCCCACATCAAGCGAGTATATAGACGAACAGATGTAGAGACGCTTGAACAGCTTGAAAATGTTGTAAACAAATCATCAAAAACAAATGTTGCTGTCCGTTTTCCACAATGGGCATGGAAAAATTGGAAGTCGTTCTTAGAGGGAAAATTTAAAGCAGTGAAAGGAATAAGGTAGTTTACAGATGCAACATACAGAAACTGCTTTAATAATAATAATAATAATAATAATAAAAATAATAATAATAATGATAATAAAAATAACAAGCAAATTCGTTCAATTTATATCCCCCGCCGAGTACTGGTTATTATTAACACAACAACTGAAGACATAAGGCTTTTTTTATATATTAATCATGGCATAAACAGTAATATTCTTTGAACTTGATAAATATTCAGGGAAATAACAGAGCCATAACTTTGTGTTAAATAGTAAAATCTGGAAATGCCAATGAGATGTATGCATACTACATAACTAATCAAGGGCCATAAATCTGAGTTATAAGTATCTGACTGGAACAAGGCGACTATTCCCTTACGGAGTTCACTTATAAGTCACTTATAGGCTATTTTATATGTAGATTATACTTCACTTAGTCAATTCACCTATAAGTCAAGTATATGTATTTTAAATGCAAATTAGATGTAAGTGCAGTATATGTCTGGCATTTTGACAAATAAGTGAAGTATAAGTTATATGTAAGTCACATATATGTGACATGTAAGTCAAAGATATGCTCAACTTATAAGTAACATATAAGTGACTTATATTTTACATATAAGTGACTCATATGTTACATATAAGTGACTTAATACAAGTCACTTATAAGTAACATATAAGTCACATGTAAGTCGCATATATGTTGCTTGATGTCAAAAAAGCTTGAAATAAAATAAAAGTTTAGTAATTTAATTTCAAAAATGTTTATTAATTTATATTCATAGTCATATAAATGAGCAAAATACAAAATTCAACATACATATCCTTCAGTTCAATCATCTTACATTCACTATAACAAAAAACAATATTCATTTGTAACAGCAAGTTTTTGTTTTTTACTGGTTTTCTTGGAATCAAACACATTTTATTTTATACAATTATTTTGCTGGAAGTCTGTCAGTGAGGAACTGTTCAAATCATAAATTTGTTCAAATGTTTCTGATTATTCAAACTACTATTTCTTTTATTGATGTCTGTTTCTGTGCTCTGATTTTGTTTCCTCGGAGAACTTCATGTGGCTGTGTTCACCTTTAAAGATAAAATTCATAATTAATTTAAAAAAATGTAGAATAAATTCCGACCATTGTATATGCAGTTATATTTCATATTTTGTATATCATCAAACTATATTAGCTATTTATGCTTATGCATATACAAATATACTAAAGTTACACAGTATCTCATTTTAGTGCATAAGTCAACAGTGTTGTTTAAGAATTGCTTAAAGTCTCTATATAAGAATTGATTAATTGCACTATTTGCAACAACATTTATTATGCTCTTTTCTGGGAAAGATTTAGAGCAGTAAGTATAGAGATTAAAAAAATATACCTTTTCAGGCTCAATACTGCATATCATTCTTCACCTGGCATCTCAAAGTAACAATTGGTCCCACTAGCCTGCAATGTATGTAAAATGTAATATCAGATTTCTCCATTGAAAACAACAATAAAATGATAAATGATTATGATGACCCAGTCTTATTCAGCTGCATAAATCTACTGATTGTACTATTTAGTTCTAAAAATTCAATTAATTTAACTATTAAATCTAGATTTAAATCAATTACAAGTATTAGTAAATCTAATGTATGAAGCTTAGAAATAAAAACAGCCTTGATCTCTCAAGTTACAAATTTTAGTTTGCTGCCATCTTACTTTGATTGTTTAATATATAACCTGTATCAATTCTGCATAAATGTAACTCAAAGGTATTTACCTGATTTTGTTGTATATCTTCTTGTCCAAGGTGATTCTTCTTGTCATTATTATTTACCATAACTATACTTAAACATCTTAAACAAAACAATATCTCTAAAATTCCTAAAACATCAAGTAGATTCTCTGTGATTTCCACCAGCTTGCTAACCTAAATGTTTCAGCCTTACAACTGTGTACCTGGGCAGGTCCAATGTTATGGGTAAAAACAGGGTAAATCCAAAAATCAAAGCACTCATCAGTTCTATCTTACAATCATTGAATGTGAAAAAAAAAATCAAATAACTAATAGATATGTAAAGTTTAAAAAATCATTATACATTTTTGAAAAAAAGAAAATGCAATGTCCTTTTTTACAAATTCAGGATAGGAAATGTTATCGTTCCCCAAAATAATCACATGGAACAGTCTGATTTGTAGGAATGACCAGTCAAAAAAATTAGTCATGCACATATGGTGGCAAAGGCAGGTGGCCAGTTTTATCAGACCTCTGATCTAATGTGGGTGTATCAGTGGAAGCAATCTTCAGGGCATATTGGTTCCTTGATTTTATATAGATTAAAAGGGCAATATAAACTGTTTATTTCAAGCACTGTTTTTTTTTATTGTTTAAATATCTAAAATACACTAGGCCTAAATGTCTTAAAAATAACACTTGTACAGTACTGGACACGCGAAACCCGCACAATTCGCGTATTCGCGGCGAACTCTCATGCTTTATAACGCGAGCGAATTCGCGGCAACTTGAGACAATCGCCGCGAATTCAACTCGCGGCGTTTTGCCGTGAACATTTGCCGCGATTCGCGGGGAATAATACATGTTCATTTGTATAATAAATGTAGATCTATTTATAAGTGTAGTCTGTGAACTTGAAACCAGATATACATGTACAAGTAACGAAAATTAAATTTTAGTAATCTACATGAAGTTGTATCAAGAAAATCTTGTTAATTTCTAAAATGCCCTTCTCTATTTATCTTTGATGCCAACAGCAATATAAATAACCACGGCGAAATCAAATAACACCGTTAAAAAAACTTTCCGTGAATGGCGGAATCATGACCTCAATGTATAAATGCGACGCAGTACAAGTATGCGGCTTCCATCTGCAGGTAAATAGTGGTGCATGTACACGTGTAAACTATTTTTAGGGGGGGGGGGGTACATATTGAGTTTAAAGTAGAGATATAAATATAATATATGTGTAAAAAGAGATATTTAGTTACATAAAAAGATACATAATTGATACGACATTAACTTGTTCATTTCTAAAATGTAGTGGATTCCCTGGGACACAATTTCGTCATTCCTTCGGGTGATCATTACTCAATTATTACACGTTTGTAAAAAATAAAACGACACGCAAGGATTTGTCTGCTAATAATTTTCTGAATGGCGGATATTTGCACCCCTGTTTTTAAAATGTTTAAAATAAATTTAATTTGTTAGTTACCGAAAATTATCGCCGATTGTTGAAATTCCATAGCGCTAAAAAGACACAAAAACAACTCGCGCAAAAAAGAAGCATCCATAAATAAAAGGAATATAAAATGTTTTCCATTGTTAAATAATAAATACAAAAATTTACACACGAAAATGACCTCTGACAAAAATGACTGGTCGGCTGCTTCTGAAGAATCTGTGAATCTTTTGATGTTTACACACTGTAGTTGTTGCCGCCGATCATCAAAGAAAATGCCGACACTCGATTTGACTTTCACCTCTTTTTTTTAATATATCAGAAAAAAACTGTCATTTCTTTTTTGTCATGGAATGATTAACAATGTTTAATTATTGCTCAAAGTAAAAAAAAAAATGTTGGGATATTGATTGTGTCAATTATTGACATATTATTAATCGTAAGTGCATTTTGATTTGTGAATTTTTATTTACATTTCTCATCACCTACTCATGCACCTGGCATTTTTACTCGTGAAATTGAAGGTAAAGAATGTCAATTTAAAAGTGATAAAACTTTTTAACAATTTTCAACAATCATAATTAGCGTATTAAAGACGTAAATAATTAGTTACACCTGTGAATCGGTGCTAAATGTCGCTTTGCATTGTTTCTAAAAATAGAATATGTGCGAAAGTAAACAATGGATTTTAATTACATTTGTATTATTATCAAAATAACAATTGGACAATTTGTTATCGTGCGTTCTTTGATGTAGTACCAATTACCTTTTTTAATTTCAATCTCGTTTTATTGTTAACTAATTTTCACCAGCACCTGATTGCTTTTTTTAATATACAAAATGTAAACGCTGTACATGTTCAAATGCTAAATATTTATAAATATAAGCAAGACGTTTACAAGATTTTTTTAAAAGTTTTCAAAATTAAAGATCACGGGAATTAAAGGACCAAGTAGTACTTTCTAATACAAATTATTGCTGAAGATTCGCCGTAAATTACGGCGATACATCGCGGCGATTTTTCGTGACCCGCCACGAAATTCGGCGAACTTGCACGCGGCGATGTTTTACCGCGAAGTGTCCCGTCGCGACATAGACTACACTCGCGGCATAACGCGACTTTTGCGGGTTTCGCGTGTCCAGTACTGTATATTAAAAAAAAATACACCTCTTTTTCTTGTATAGGTACAGAGACATAGAGTTATCTATGTCTCTGATAGGTATATTAGGTCTGTAAGAAGTACAGTAGGTAAAAACATATAGATTTCAATGTCTGTTTCAAGTTAGAAAAAAAACAAGAGTAGAATTATGCCTTGGGTGACTTTTATGTGAAATATTTTCCTTGTGAGAAGAAATGACATGGAATTGCATTTCTGTCCATGGTAGCCTAGAAATCACTGATTGAATGCCATTTCTGTCCCAATTCCGCACAGAATATGTACCAAAATTTTTTACAGGTAATATACTTAATAGATAATCATTTTTCCTATTATCTTATTTAAAAAACCCCAGCTGTGTTCTAAAATTAATAAGCAACATTTAAAAAAAATCTTAATTGTTTGTGATTAAGGTCTAAGATTATAGTATTTTAAATTCTGAGTTTTTTGATACCTATTGTGTTAAAGCAAAGAATTACAAATCAACTTCAATAAATTTTACCAATTTTCTCATGTTTTTGTACTTAGTAATTTTTTCAGCTTTGCTCAGTAATAAATAGTCTCGCAAAAGTTCTAAGTTTTCACTTATATCTAACATAGAAACTGGTTACTTCAAACTTCACCAGTACAAGGCACTTATAGGTGACTTGTATGTGACTTATATGTTGGGTAAAAAATGGCCAAAAGTGACTTATATGTAGCATATACCTATAACTGACTTAGACAGGTTTTTAGGTGATTTATAAGTGACTTATATGTAACTTATAGTTCTCTTATAGGTCAAGTATAAGTTGCATATAAGAAACATATAAGTCACTTAAAGTCATTTTGGTAAGGGTATGCACATCTCCTCTTAAGGCCTCAACAGACGGTAGGATTTAGTTGTACAGCACTAATTAGAGATAAGATGTACAATTTTCAAAGCAATACAACACTTGCATTCAGACGGTAATTCTACACTGTAAGAATCATCTGAGGTTTTCCCTAAAAAGGATCCCTTTACATTGATCCTTTTACATACTTTACTCACTAAATACTTTTTCTCCAATGAGTAATGATGAAACACTCCATTAAAAAAAAAAAAAAAAAAAAAAAAAAAAAAAATATAATATATATATATATATATATATATATATATATATATATATATATAATATATATATATATTTAATGTGAGGCATGACCGAGACTCAAAATCTTGGACCCTCAGATTACCGTACTGTGGCTCTACTGACTAAGCTATCTGGCTGCCTACAAACTACCTCCCTCCCTTAAATTAGAGAACAATTCAATACCGTGACATAATC